TATGAATTTTAAGAATTGATATTCAATTCAAAAACTCGCGTGTAAAAATTTTCACGCGAACAAAATATATATATATGCATATATATATATATATACACAGTTTTCCGCACAACATCCTGCGATCGGCTCGGATGACCGTATTATTTCTTACTTTAGTTTTAGTTTTTTGATTAATATTATAATTGTAACTCTCGTCTTCTATATATATATATAAATTTATATATATATAAATTTAGTCGAATACTATGAAGAGCGTACATTACGATTATAATATTAATCAAAAAACTAAAACTAAAGTGTCTGACACTAAAAAGTTTTTGCCGCTTTGATGAGATATCGTCCGTTTTTATGGCGGCAAAATGTTGCTCTTGGATAGGCTAAGCCATATTGCCTAATCTATAATTGGTCGCAACCTAACCTCTATTGTGCACGTGTCGTGGACTATCATTTCAAATTCAACCGTCGCCACAGTGAGGTGAATTCTTTGTGCTAGCGCAGTGAACCTTATATCTTCATATCAAGAAGTAAGAAGAAGAGGCAATCGCAACATCGTTTTGCAGCTGCAACATTCAAAAAACACGTAATATGAAACGAAATAACATTAAATTATCTGTCTCGCGTAAATCAATAAATATAGTATCGGTGAGACAGCGTAATACGGTTATGTCCGAAATCAGAAACAGCCACTGAACTATATCCTATACTGGAATGCTCACTCAAATGGGAAGAAACGCGACGACAGAGATAGAGAATTGTAACCAGCCTGTCTTTTTCTAACCGTATATTACTTGAACTAAAAACATAGGCAAAATGGCGGCCGTAACGCTCGGACGTGCACAGACGTGCATAGTGACATATTGTTCTTTTGGTTAGTTATTAGAACAAAATGGGTAGACGTTGTGGAGTGAGTAATTGTAAAAATTATAATCAAGAAAATACGAATATTTCACAGGTAGGTAAAACAATATTATATTTAACATTATAAGTAAAATATAATTATTATTATATATTAATATAATTATTATTATATATTAATTACTTCAAACAGCATGTATGTCCAAAATCTGAATATAACACGTTATAAGAACATCTTTAAGACATTTTAAAACTGTTTTAAAAACATGTTAAAAATATCTTAAAAACGTATTATGTCCTGATTTTGGACATGCTTGCTGTTTGGAAATCTAATTAGTTTTGTATGAATATAANATCTATTTAACATTATTTTTAATTTTTTAGATTACCAGCTTCTGAAGAAATGCGGCAGCAATGGATAAACGCTATTCCACCAAATTTATTGCGCATATCTGCCAAATTAATTTTTGTATGTAGTGCACATTTTACAAAAGATTCTTTTCAACCTGCTTCAATGGGACTGTCCAAAAATATCTTTAAAAAATCGATAATACCTACTCTTTTTAAAGAAAATTATGAATGTAAAAACCCTATGAATAAGAGTGAGAAAAATGAAGAGGTATCATTTATGTAACACTTCTTTATATACAATTTATATATTTTTAATCTTTTTAAGTGAAACATCACAAGTTGTTGTTTTTAGATGAACATTTTGTAAAACGTTTGCTTTTCCTCGTCTACTAGTGATATAGAAAATAGTCCATCAGTGATCACAGCTATTACTACAAATGAAAACGTAAAATATATCAAGTCAAATATTTATAATTTTATTAAATTTTTTATGTTAATGTTATGGTTTTATCATTTTCTAGATGATAACTGAAAGAAAAAAAAAGAAATTGGAATGCAAACGAAATCAATTATTACTAAAAATGTTCAAGTACAAGTATCTCCAAAACATTGTAAATTATCCAGAAGAGAAGTACAATTACAAAATGAAAATCGAATTTTGAAAAAGCGTCTTTATCGTCAAAATGACAGAATAACATCTATGAAAAGCTTTACGCAATATCTTCGAAACAACAAGTGCGGTAATGAAAATTAGGAAAACAAACATTGTTTTTCCTTAAAACAATTTGCATTGACGGTTTTTTTTTATTCTCCTCGTGCCTACGAACTTATTAGAAGTAAATTAAGTTTACCTCATAGTAGCATTATGCGTAAATGGTTAACCAATTCAAATATACAACCGGGATTTATTTCGGAAGTTTTCGATTACTTAAAGAATGAAACTTCTACTAAAGATTATCTACACAATGTTGCCTTAATTTTTGATTATTTAAAGAATGAAACTTCTACTAAAGATTATCTACACAATGTTGCCTTAATTTTTTATTTAAAACTATTTTCAGGAAACTTAGTTTATTAAAAAAATTGATGAACCAAAAGATGTTAACAAATAAAGGTAACGATTTAAATTTGAACGAATGAATAGTCAAGGCTCGTGAAAATTGAAACTAAGAATGAAGAGGCTAATATGAGCCATCTAAGATTAAATAGGCCAATACGAGCCATTCCCAGGTTGTTGTGCAGGAATAAGCTTGCATGTATATATACAGGGTGAGTCATCTGAATCTATCACCTCCAACAACTCGTTTGTGTGGCCAGGAATCGAAAAAAGTTTCATATAAAAGTTGTAGGGTTTCGAGGGGGAACCAAAATGGCGTACCNTTCAACTTTTGATTTTGACCAAAAGTGGGTTACTTCAACCGGAAGTGGTTTTTTTAAAATGGAAACCCCCTTTTTTGACACCGGAAAATGAAAAAGCGGAAAATTTTACGTTCAGATATAACCTTGGCTGTTTTAAAATTTTCAAGATGACGAACGAAGATGGCGGACAAAAATTTTAGTCAACCGATT